TTTTGAGCATATGTTATCATAATAGCAATTTTGCAAACATTTTTTCATGCCTGTTACCTTTATTGTGTTAGCCGCAGAAGAGACAACACAAATTCTATCCACAAGAAAATCATATTTCGGCTAACTATTAGCCTTCAGCAGCAAAGATTGAACAGCTGCAACAAATGAAGTAACTACTAAGGATCAGGCACTTGTACAAGCTTTTGTTTCAAGTAGAATGAAGCTCCAGTAAACCAAGTAGTCAGGTTTCCATGTGTGGTCTCAAGAAAATTCAGAATCACAAAAATTTATATAGTAATTCTAATATCCACACAATATAACTTACATGAATGCCTTCACAAACTTAAGCATTCTTGTGATTTCAAATAGATTTCTTGTTGAAAACATACAGACAGAACACCACAAAATGGGAGAAACAAAAGAAAATATCCCAAAATTTTTAACACTTATCATATTGTCCTCAAAAATCCACGAACTTCAATAAGAAAATTGTGTAGATTCTTTCTGAACTTCTGGTAATTTGTGCGATCAAGCGTCGAAGAAAGGTGGTTTGAGTTTGTGAGAGATTGCAATGCATTTGTCAACCTTAATCTGAATGTTGGATTTGACTGCCTTTCTATTAACTCATTGCACAATCTCTGCAAAAAAAAAAAAAATACCGGTGTAAAATATCTCAAGTGGAAAAACAATTACTTACTCTAATTGTCATTGGAAAAAATTAGAAGTAATACCTGGTAAAGACCCTGTTCACAAAGGATCAATGGTAGGAGAGCTTCTGCTGCAGTGCTGACTAGATCAGTGCTGGAAACACAAACAAAAAATATCATCAAAAGGTCATCAAGAGAGCAACAAGTTGATGAAAACATAATTGGTATAACCAGATTAAGAAAATGATTTCTTGGAGAGACGTCTTGATCATTGCAGAGGTAGTCAGCTTTGTCCTACTATATGACTCATTTAACTGCTTTCACTGGTTTTGTTGTTCTTTCAGAGAGTGTGGTGAACCTCGGCTAATATTATTCAAGTTCAATATTAGCATTGCCTCTAACCTGTAATCCTCAAAGAGGAGAAATTTCATCAACGAACGAAGGAATTGGTTCAGAATGCCTTCTTGACAGTTTCCATCACGGTCCTTATAAACTGTAGCATGTGAACCTAACCCCGCTTTACCTGCACCCGTTTCCTTGTAGTGGTAGGAAGCAAGTGCTTTCAGAGATCTCAGACACATGTCAACAACTTCTATGTCCTGTATTATTGTGGGAACAAAAAAATACTAAGAAAATAAATCGGGAAAAAGCAGAGTCACACATTCTAGACTTACATCATGTTTGGTAAGGAAGAAAAATAGGAAGGATGGAAAAGTGAATGGATTAACTTTCTTTCCAACTTACCAAAATTAATCTCTCCAAAATCAGAAAAAAAGTAGATGAAAAATTAATTATTTGTGTTGAGATGTATCTTATTTGTCTATATATCTTTTGATATATACAAATATTATGTATACATTAATTTCATATAAAAATACAATGATAATATAGGTATATATATATATGTATTAAAAATAAACTTTAAAAATTAAAAATTAAAAAAATAAAAATTTAAATTAAAAAAATATTTCATCTTAACTAAAGGTGAAAATTTTTGACTCAACATGATGACATTACTAGAACTCGACACGAATTTTATGACACGAACTTGATTATAACTCAACACGAACTTGAAAATGACCTGACACGTGAACAAAAAATATCAAAAACTCATTCAATTTATCCAGTCAAACTCAAAATTGACACCATTAACCCGTTTATTTAAAAATAAACACTTTTTTTTATTTTCTCATTTGTATGGTAACACGAAATTAATACAAAACTAAAATGTTTAACTAGTATTATAGACATAAAATGTTAATTATTTGTACCTATTTATTAAACACAGACATAATTATTATATAAAAAAGATATATTTACTTATTATTATATTTATTTAAATTAATTTTGAGTTTGTAGAAAAAAATATTAACATGAAGTCAATTAAATGAAAATAAAATATTAACGTTAAATTTTTTATTCAAAGTTTATACTGGTCAACACGAATTCGAATACAAACACGACACGAAAATAAACAAACCAACTCGCAACTCGACATGATACAATTAATTAAAAGAGTTTATTTATGTTTGACTAATGTTCGACACAAATCCGTAATGACTCAACACGAATCTTACACGATACGATTCAATTGCCACTTCTAATCTTAGTTAGCACAAAAAAAAAATAATAATCATTTTTATTTTCCATCAATCCAATCAAACACAAAATAAATTAAGTGTATCATTCCTACGTTCTTTTCTTGAATGATTGAAAGTGTATCTCTCCTACTTTCCATCATTTCTACCAAACAGAGCATTATTGTATGATAAAAGGTCGTCAACAATTCTCTTGTAATAAAATAAGTCATTGAATCACCATGCATGGGTAGCAACAGATCGCAATCAACAAGATGCAAAATCCCTCCAAGCACGTCCACCAACATACGTGTATACAAATCAACATCATGTAAACTAATACATGGCCGCAGATGGGTATCACATCAGATTCAGAGGGCAGTCATTTACCTGATGATGAAGACCATAATCAAGAGTTCCAATAACATGAGCAAAGGATTCACTACTTAGTTGTGACACCATTTCAGGATAGACCTCCAGCAAATAAGATAGCAGTGAGAAGTACTGCCCATAGACATACACGGGGCGAAGCCAGAAAATTGCGTCAGGATAAGCACAAATATTTCAACAAATTATTATTATTTTCTTACAATTGATAAAAATAGGACTAATTTCTTTAATTACGTCCTAATACTTAAAAGTTCATTAAACCTACCACACCGAAATTTAGTAAGTCTAGTAAATACAAATGATAACATTTTTTCATAAAATATTAACTAATTAAAATTATTTAGAATTGACTTCAGTAAATTTTTACTTTTAAAACGTTGCATGGCAACTTTATTATTCTTTAGATACATAATCATGTTATCACTTTGGTATTTATAAATCATTTGATCAATTATGTAGTGTAATGTGTACTCTATAATTTTTACCATAATTAGCAAAAATAAATGTCAAAATCACAAGTAAACTAGCGAATATGTATATCATGTTTTTTCAGTTTTAGAAAATATAAAATAATTCTAGTATATTCAAAATTTATCTAAATAGGTACATAACCGGACCAAAATATGTCAAAAAATTCATATTCATTTTATATAAATATACACTAATTGATATGCCAAAATAAATAGGGAGGACATAATTAAAATTATTCATTTGATATAAGTGTACATTAATATTTTTGTCTTTGATTTTAGGTAGGCACAAATAATATATTATACAAATATATAATATACACATCTAAGTAATTAAAAAATAAAAAATTTGAGGGGGGTACTTGCCCACCCTGAACAGGGCTGCCTCCGCCCTTGGACATACAAAATATTAGCTGCCTGAAAACAATACCGGATTACGTAAATTCTAATGGAAAAGAAAGCTCACATCATGACAAAGCTTAGGGTATTTCAGCATCTCCAAAGTTATAAGAGGGTTAACCATGTGAAGACCCATGTGCACCACCTGCAAGACAATATGATAAGAGACCATCCACCGATGCTGGTGCAAAAGTACAACATCAAGATATACCTGAGAAATATTTGTGCCATGGGTCTCAAGGGAATCTGATGAGAAGTCAACCTGCAAATTTCATTTTTCATCGACTGGGCTATTGCAAAGGCTAATATTAGCAAAATAAATAAATAGAAAAAATTCATTATGAAAAGAGAAGCTAAAAATGTACCAGATCCTTTGAACAGAGATTTGCAAGGAGTTGTAGAAGAGCTCGCAAATCCCTATATTTTTCAGTATCTGCCTCAGTCTGTAAGCTGCTTGAAAGGCTAACTGATATCTGAGAAGGCAATGAAATAACAGAAGTCAACAGCCAATTACAGATATTAGAAAACAACCTTGGTAGAGTATCTCCCGGATGAGTAAAAACTCATCCGCTTGTGCAAAAGTTCTATTCACCAGCAACAACAGCTGGGGGAGAACTACAAGTAATTAAACACGGTCCTTTCTGACCATCCACAGAGAGACTCCTCTAAACACAAGGCAGAGGGCAATTCCTTTGTTGTAACTCCCATATCTGTATAGAGTGTTTGTATCCCACGATTAGGACATGATTCACAATCTCAGACAAATTCTCGTTCCCATCTCAATATTGGAACCAAAAGGGAGGACCCATAACTTTAGAACATTAAATGTTGACACTGTAATTTCAAGAAGCTTTGCGAGATTATGATGCACTTGCTATTATATGTTCAACAACACAACAAATACCACATCAGTAATCAATGCTGATGGACCTATTTTCCTGATAAACAGCCTGCCGTTAAACAAAAAATAGAGCATAATGGAGGAACATGATTTATGCAGTGCACTCCAAATAGTTGGGACAAGGATTAATCTAGTTGAGTTGAGTAGAAAAGGTTTAAAGTCGTCATCGAATATTAGACAAACCCCATACTATTTCACTCCAGTTCTTGCTCTGTGAAGTTTCAAGCAATTCAGGAAAAAATGTTGAATAGTTGTGCACCCATGGCTTAAAATTAGTTTCAAATGCTTTCGTCATATAAAGTGCAAGAACACCAGAATTGGTTAGGAACAAACAAGAAAAATGCTGTTACCTAGTTTGGCCTGTGTTAGCCATAGGTAGGCCTGTCTATGGATCGGTTTTCATCCGCATTAGATTCATGTATTTATCGGATATTGAGAATTTTAAGCCAGTAATCCAGATCCAAGCCAAATCTATTTAGGCCACTCCAATTGGATTTGAATACGGATATATAGTAATCCGATCCATTATTAATCTGATTCAAATAGAATGAAAAAACAGTATGCATCAGTATTGCATATGTTATATTTCTATGGAAGCATGAAGAAAGAGAGTTAAAAACTCACAACATCATAGCATCTTTTGATTCACTTTTTCTATTTCCATTTTCTTTCCTTCATTTCTCCCATTTTCCGCGTTTCTTTTCCTCCTTTCACTAGTTCCCTATCCAGCTTCATGAACTGGCTCCCTAGGTCTTAACAAATGCCTGCCAGTGCTCCTCTCTCTCTCTCTCTCCACCCAAAACTCATTCCCAACTGTATCCCAGGATCTCTCTTTCGGCGTGTCATCCCTATCCCACTCCTGTTCAGGAAACCCTCTCATTCCCCAGCCCCTCTCCTATGTCTCTCCTATCCATGGATCTGGTTTGTTCATAACAAGCAAGGTCATAAATTGCGGGTGAAGTTCAAGTTCATTGATGGCCATGAAGGACTATCCCTTAGGTCAGATCTGATTTGTTGGTTTTCAATTTTCAGTTAAAATTGGTGGATTATTTGACGTCATTTTGATTTAATTTGGCTGAAATTATTGTTTGACTGATGGAATTGAACTGACATGATCTAAAAATGACTATTCTTGGAATTTGTTGATTAACTTGTACTCGGAAGAGGATTGAATTTTTCAAATCTGGAGAGCAATTGAATTGGATCGGGTTGAATAAAATTTAATCAAGTTCGGATTAGGTTATAGAACAATTACATCCACATCCAATCCGTTGATAGACCTAGCTATATGTATTGAAAGAAGTGGACAAGATACAAACCTGCACTTTGGCATAATTTTGTAAATATCCTTCGATTTGAATCCACAACCTGGTGGTTGTCAGCCCACACATTTTATTAACCTTAGCAATCAAGGATCAAAATATCATTTTGTTTTCACCAAAACATTTGGGATTTTTTGAAATGTTTTGGAATGTCTCAGCCAATGTTGTGCAAACAAAAAGTCCAATTTCTTTTTTTCCTGTTTCCACTTTGTTACAAAATTTCCAAAACTTGTCCCTTTTCAAACTAACTGAAATTATGCACTGAATGATGATGCCCAAATTGCAATAATGACAAAAATGTATAATAACACATGGGAAAACAACTCGAAACAAAGAAATTTTTAAACTATATAAACTTTCTGATAAAGAAATTTTTACAAAAATAGTAATGGAAGTTTTTTTTTAAAAGGAAAGTAACAATAATAGAAGTTAAGTACAAAGAGTATGATGATCTTGATTCTAAACTAGATACATGTATCTTGTGCATTATGTGATCAATGTGTATCACTTAGTTTGAGAAATGAACATGATTTAGAGCTATATGAAAATATATGATTGCAAAAACCACGAGGGATCTTGTGGAATATTAAATGAGAGATAACTTAAAATATTTTATATCAGAAATAGAATATGAAATTTCAAGTCTAAATTAGAGTCATATGACCGAGTATAGAATAATATTATTTGACGTATTCGTGAGTAAAAAGGGATACTCAAACTAAGAGTAGAGCCCTGTATATATAGCCAAATAATAGTACAAAGTGACCTACACATTTTTGTGGTCTACCCAAATATAAAAGTTATAGTAAGGGTAAAAAAGAGAAAAAGAAACCCTAATAAACTAGACTATACTCCAATACTCCCCCTCAAGTTAGGTGTAAAAATATCAACTAAACCAAACTTGACAACAGAGTCACAGAGAATGGATAGAGTAATAGATTTGGTGAAAACATCCGCAACCTGGTCCCCACAAACAACGGAGCGATAATACCACAGCTAACCTTCTTTCAAAAAAAGTGAACATCGATCTCTATATACTTCGTCCTCTCGTGTAGTACAGAGTCAGAAGTGAACTGAATAGCAGATCGATTATCACAATATAATGTAGATGAAGAAGTCACTGGAAATTCAAACTCACCAAGAATCGATCGTAGCCAGATAATCTCACATGTGTCAAGTGCTAGTGCCCGATACTCTGTCTCTGCTGACAAGCGAGTGACAACCGACTGCTTCTTCCTCTTCAAAGAGATAAGATGAACCCCTCGAAAAACACATATGCCCGTAGTAGATCGACTGTTACACGCTCCCCCATAAACTGAAGGATGACATAGTGCGTAGAAGCATTCCATTGAATAAAGCATATATGATTAGAATAATATCTAGCAACCCCTAAACGTATAACTACACCACTAAATCGAGAGAACCAGACTTGTGGTGATTGTTTCAGTCCATAAAGAGACTTACATCGTTGACACACCTTCCTAGAATACTCCCCCTCACCACGAAAGCTTGGTAGTGCATCCATATAAATAATCTCGTTTAGATTACCGTGAAAAAATTCATTCTTCTCATCTAACTGATGAAAAGACCAAGAGTATTTTTGTAGTCAGAGAAATAATCAACCTAACAGTAGTCAATTTTGCCACGGGGGCAAAGGTAGCACCAAAATCACAACCTGGTACCTGAATAAAGCTTTTCGCCACAAGTCTAGCCTTGTGACGATCAATAGTACCATTCGCAAGAACTTCAGAGTGTAAACTAAGCGACAACCAACACAGGCTTCACCCCTGAAGGTAAAGAGACAAAATCCCATGTATTATTACGCTGAAAAACGTCCATCTCCAATTGCATGGCAAGAACCCACTAGGGCTCCCTCATAACCTCTAAAATAGAGTGAGGAACCAACGTCTCTGATAAGGGCATACTATAAGCTCGAAATGTTGGAGACAGATCACCATAAGAAACATAAGCACAGATCGGATATAAAGTCCTGATGGTCCAACCATAACGAACAACTGGACGGCAATCACGCCGCGGATAACGACGCCCTAAATTATCATCCTCCACTAACAATGTCTCATCAGGGAAAGTAACTAACTCTGTACCTGCAATCTTATCAATACTAATAACAGGTGCATAAATATGATTAACAACTAAGAAGTATTATCTGCATTGCCTGAGGTAGAAGGGATATCAATAGGAGGATGAGAGTGAGGGCGACCAACATAAACCTACAAAAGAAGAGAGACTGGTGACTTGGTACTAACAGGGATGAGTGGCTTTGGAGGAAGAGAGACTAACGACTCTATAGTGATAAACGACCAATAGCTTTGGCCCTTGTGGTAACGGAAAATCAAAGGGAGTATCATCAACTGGAGGGACAGACATAAGACTGAAAGAGAAATAAGAAATATGCTAAAGAAAGGTAACATCTAGACTGTGCTATATACGGCGCTTGATAGGATCATAACACCGATACCCCTTAGACTGATGACAATAGTTCACAAAAACACAACGAATCGCTTTATCATCAAACTTATGACAAGTAGAAGACCGATCCTGAACAAAACATATATAACCAAAAACACGAGAGGGGACCAAAAAAAGTGTCCGCTCAAGTGTACGATTGCACAAAAAAGTAAAAGTCAAAACAGTAAAATGCTAATAAAATTTTGGTACCCCCATACCTCTAAACATACAACGTACCATCCCTATTAGACTCCTATTTTTTCTTTCAGTAATTCTGTTTTGCTTAGGAGTATATGGACAAGTGAGCTACTGAAGGATATCCTAAAAAGAAAGGTGAGACACTAAGGCATCAAACATATATTCTTTGGCATTATTCGAACAAAGAGCACAAACAATGACATCGAATGCAAGGGCCATCTGGTCAACCGGAGTAGTCAAGGCCGCAACTGGAAGTGATGCAATACTAACGCGGTGCTCATACTGCTCAATCATCGCATACACCTCAGAAAGGGACGAAAGCCTCATCATCAACAAGATCTGTGAACGAGATCCCTCAAACTCATCACAAAGCTCCATAAGAAACTTGTAAATTCCATCCTCCTGCTTTTGAATATGTAAGAATGCCACTCCCTCCGGGCTCTATCATCGAAATAGCAGCAAAAGGACGTAGAGTCTCATACTCAAGTCAACGCTGGGAATACATCTCCGATAATGCGCTCCATAGTTTCGAAACAAAGATATGAAACTGGTGAATCCTGCAAACAAAGGGCTCCATCGAGCTAAATAACCATCCAAGAATAGCACAATCCTCAGAGAACCACGCAGAATATTTAAGATCGTCATCAGCTGGCTTTGGGTGAGATCTCATCAGCCAACCAAGCTTCTCTACACGGCCTAAGAAAAGTTGGAATGCAACTGTGCTAGTAGGTACCCGACATTGCCAGTAATGCAACTGTGTTAGTAGGTACAGTATACTGGTCAAATACAAAAGTGGAAGAACCAGGAGGTACATTCTAGGTGGAAGTACTAACAGCAAAGGTCTCAACAGTAGAGGTCTCAACGGTAGGAGTGTCAAGTCCCTCAGTAGTAGCCATAGCAATAACAATTCGTAGGCACCCATGATAGGAAAAACTCTAAGATAAATAGAGGAACAAAATGAGGGAGAATAATATACCTCCAGTCGAATAATAGCGCCAGATAAAGAAGGTCCAGAAAGCTCCCAAATAATCAAATTACGGTGCCCAAAAATCCAATAAAGATAAATAAGTTATCTACTGCATCAAGAGAAGATCAGCAGAAAAGAGGATTCAACCCCTCTTAAAAGGTCCTAGATGCTACAACCCTAGGAAAAAGAAGGCAGTGGCCCGAAGAGATGGCAACACTACGACGAAAAGCATGAAGATCGAAGGCGTGACAGACTGACGTTGATGCTGGGACTGCCTGGGCGCAAGCTGGGTGGGTTGCTGTTTTGGGCTGGTTTGGGTTGCTGGGTTGCTGTGTTGGGCTGGTTTGGGTTGCTGTTTTGGGCTGTTTTACGTTGCTGATTTGGGCTGTTTTGCTGGGATGGGTTGAGAGATGGCTGTGACTGCTGGGTTGGGTGGTGTTGCTGGGTTTGGTTGTTTCGGTGGGCTGCTGTTCAGTCGGTGCTTGCTGGAAGGGGAGTTGGTCCTTGGTGCTTGATGTGCTGTATGGTTTGTGGCAGTATGACGTGTGCCGGTGGGTTGCTGTCGATTGGCAGTATGTTGATGTAGCTGTAGTTGTGTTTTATTTTGCTGCTGTAAGGGTGGCTGGTGACTGCAACATGGAGGAGAGACTAGGGTTAGGGTTAGGGTTGGCGGCAAACAGCTAGGGTTTTGGCTCTGATACCAACTTGACGTATTTGTGAGTAAAAAGTGATATTCAAACTAAAAGTAAAGTCCTGTATATATAGCCAAATAATAGTACAAAGTGATCTAATAATCCTTGTGGTCTAGTCAAAATATAAAAGTTATAGTAAAGGGTAAAAAAGGGAAAAAGAAACCCTAATAAACTAGACTATACTCCAACAATATTTATTAGATCCTCTTTTAAATTTTCTTTTAAAATTCTA